TTAACGTAAGATTGTCCTAATGAATTATTAGGTTGGTATTTTGGGTACATGGTCTTTGAGCTTAATGATCATCATGAACTTTGACCTTTATCAGACACTTACTAAATGCCAGATACTTTTCCAAGTGCCATAGATGTATTAACTCTTTTAATGCCCAAAGGGAGATAGCACTATGACCCCTATTTTACAAAAAAAAATGGGAACTGAGATATAGAGATGGTAAGTATCTTGCCTAAAGTCACACAGTTAGTAAACGGTAGAGTCAGGATTCAAACCTAGTAATTTTGCTTCAGAACCTATGCTCTAAGCCAATAAAGAACTTAGTAATAGTCCTGAAAAGCTCTGATGAGACCCCATTATCCTGGAGCCAGCCTCTGACATGGTGTACATTTGCTTTGTGGGTTATCACATTGAAAGAAACTGGTAGTGTGCCAAGTTCTCTAAATAACTGGCTAATGTCAGACTTTTTAGTTTGGGAGTAAATCATACATACTAGGCTTTTAGAATGAAAAATACTATAAAGCTGATCATAATGCCACACTTGGCTAAGTGCTTGGCCTATGATCCAGAAAAAGGACATGAGAGGTGATAGAAATTATTTTGCAGAGGTGTTCAAGGCAATCCTCATTTAGCTTTTCAGCAACACAGTGTTGGCATTGTTTTAATGAGATATTCAGAGTATTATAAAAATTAAATTTATTGCTTATAATCACAATACAGGAACTCTGGTAGCATAGTGGCTAAGGCATTTGACTGCTAACCAGAAAGCTGGCAGTTCAAACCCACCAGCCACTCCTCGGAAGGAAGGTTGGGCAATCTGCTTCTGTAGTGATCCTGCCTCAGAAACCCAAGGGAGGGGTCGCTATGAGTCGGGTCCAACTCGATGGCACATAACAACAACAAAAATCACAATATGCAATATAATTATCATCCTCAGGATTAATAAAATGCTTTCAATATTTCAATGTCAACCCACACCACCATATCTTGATTGGATTATAATTGTTTACAGATTGCATCCCTCTCTTTGAAAGGGAAGAAAAAGGATGTTTGTCTTCAGATAAAAATTCATTTAAAAGAGAGATTTTTCCTAAAATCATATAATATTAAAGTAATGAGAACAAATCTAAAACCACTTACTTTATTCAAATTTGAAGAAAAGATAAAAATTACTTCTCTTTTTCTATCTTCAGGGACCTCACACCCAATTTGATAACCTATCTAACACCCTTCCTTACAATTTCTTGCTCTTATCTGTCCTTAACATCTCCATCTCCACTACTCACCCACCACCCCGTAACTTCAGACTCATCACCACTCAACCCTGCTCCTCCACGAAGCTCATGAATCCTGAAATACCGCTCTGTACTCCTGACACCCTGTGCCATTACTCTCTCAATCTCATCATTTTTCACCCTCCATATAATCTCTTATCTATTAATCCTTTCTGATTCTTCCTATCCTGGTTTCCCAGTTTCTCATACACTACTCTTCTGAGTTATCGGTCCTGCTACTTCCCCCTACAGCAATCCTTTTCCACAAAGTAAAATGTGCCACCCCAGTAGCCAGTATACTCTTCTATTATTGCAATTAACACCTTGAACTCTATTATAATTATTTGTTCATAAGTCTGTCTTTTCTAAGAGTCTCCTTGAGGTTCATGCATTATTCAATTCAGTATCTGCCTCACTTGACATAATACTTGACACAGGCAGGCTCTTGATAAATATTTCATGAATGGATGAATGAATAAGTAAATGGCTTTCTTTTTCACATCCATTCTATAGCTTTTCAAGACTTAACAATACACAAAAGTATTTCTATAGCCATTAAAGCTAACAAAATTAGTGGAGTCATCATAAACATTGTAATAGTAGAAATCAACCAGAATTTCACATAGCATTTCAGATACAAATATATTTCTTGTACATCCATCCCTGATATACTATGTGCAGGTTCTGATCCCTACACTTCAAGAATATTATGCTGGGGATAACCAAGAGCCAGACAAGCACCACTAAAATGATTGGTGTTATAAGAAGCCATTAAGTGAGGGGAGGTGAAAAAACTGGGGCTCTTGTCTATGAGCTCCATGAGGGCAGAGAGCAGAACCCATTTTTTATCTTGTCACAGCTGAATGCCTAGCATCACATATAGTTTATATGGCACTTAGCATGTGCAAGATCTTGTAGATATTATTTGGTGAATGACCTCCTTCCAGGATTGTTGAAAAGACCAAGGACTTAATGGATATGAAAATCTTTTGTGAAGTATCAAGTGTGCCACAGGCATTACTGTTGTAGTCATTACTTCATATCATGTGTTCTATTCATTCCACAAATGTTTATTAGGTGCCTAGTATGTACCAGGCACTCTTCTTGGTTCTAGAGATTCAACAGTGAACAAGATAAAACCCCTGCCTTCATGGAACTTACATTCTAGCATGGGAGACAGACAATAATCCAGTTACCAGACAAATACATGATAAAATTTCAGGAAGTGATAGATGCCATGAGCAGAAATAAAGCAAGGGTAAGTATATAGGGCATGATGGAGGAGAGGGTATTTTTGCCTGGGTGCCTTGGTATTTACACAGAGGTATAATTAAATGAGGAAGTGAGACACTCAGACATTGGGGAAGAACATTCTCAACAAAGAAAGCAGCAAGTGCAAAGGCTCTGAGGTGGGAGCACTCTTAGCTTTTCAAAGAAACATCAAGGAGGTGAGTATGGCCAGGCCAGGGCCAATTAAGGGAAGAATAGTAGGCAATAATGAATGTAGATTTTATGGAGCCTGAAGCTTATAAAATTTTTCCTTAGAAAAAAAATTAAAAGTATGAATACAAGGTTAGGTACAGGGCCTTGAAATGTTCTTATAAGTAAGGGGCCCTGAAGATTAAGCTCATTTCATTTTACAATGAAACTGCTTCTGGTAGTAGAAAAGAGAGAGGCAGGGCTATACTATACAGTGTGTCATGGGCCATGGCCAGGACTTAGAATTTCATTTTAAGGGTGATGGAAAGCCACTGAAGAGTTTTGAGCAAGGGTGTGAGGGGACCTTATTTATGTTTTACAAGGATCACTCTGGCACTGCATGAATAGCAGAGGGAGAGTGGACTCAGGTCTTAGGGAGACCAATGAAAAAGCTATTGTAGAAGTCCTGGAGCAAGGTCATATAGGACCTGAGTGGTAGCAGGAAATGATAAGAAGGATTTGAATTGGGGACGTATTTTAAAAGTAGACCCCCAAAAAATTTGCTTAAGTGTTTAATATCAGATAGGAGACAGTTGAATCAGGATAATTCTGATATTTTTCATTTGAGCATCTACCCATTTCCATTGCTGTCAAGTCAACTCTGACTCATACCAACCCTACAGCATACAGCAGAACTGCCCCATAGGGTTTCCAAGGCTGTAAATCTTTACAGAAGCTGACAGCCACATCTTTCTTCTATGGAGAAGCTAGGGGGTTTGAACTGCTGATCTTTCAGTTGGCAACCAAGGGCTTTATCCCTGCATTACTGGAATTACCTGTAATGTCAATGGAGAAGAGCAGAAGAGGGAGAAATCAAGACATAGCAGAAAGGTGGGTATGTGAGCACCTTGACAAGGGACTGAAGCACAGTCAAGGAGTCCCTGTGTGATGCAGTTAATCACTGGACTATTAACAGAAAGGGATGGTTTGAACCTACCCAGAGGTGCCTTGGAAGAAAGACCTGGTGATCTGCTTCTAATCAGTCACAGCCATGAAAACCCTATGAAGCAGTTCTACTCTGAAATACATGGAGTTGCCATGAGTTGGAATGGACTTGATTACAACCAGGGCACAGTTATAAAGGACAGAACCTCAAATAGTTGCCCGTAACCAGTGGGAGCCCTGGTAGCACACTGGTTAACTAGCTTAGCTGCTAATTGGAAGGTTGGTGGTTCAAACCTACCCAGCAGTTCTGTGGGGAAAAAGACCTGGAGATCTGCTCTTACAAAGATTATAATCTAGAAAACTCTGTGGTAAAGTTCTCCTCTGTTACAAGGAATCACTATGAGTCAGAATCAACACAAAAGCACTAACAATGACAACCCCACCTGGGTAGAACCTAACTTCCAGCCTTTCTAGAACATTTCTCTCCAGGCCTCAGTGATTCATGGGACCAGGGAGTATTGTGTTCCCTAGGCAGTGATTGTGATTCTCAGAGCTTTAGTAGAGGGCACTCAGATGGCAACTCTAGCCTTACCTTTATGCACATGTGTCACTCCAGCACCTTGCATAGTGATGAGAACCAAATGTGCTCTCTATGAATACTTACTGAGTCATGGCATGAATGAATGAGTAGATGAATGAAAAATGAGTCCCTCTTTCACACACATGTTATAGCTCTTCAAAGCCTCATTCAAAAGCTCACTAGGACCCAATAAAGATGTATTGAAATAAGATGTCAAATGAGAAATAACCTTTATGGGAAAGCTATTATATATATGAAGTAGGGGTTCTTTTAATTATTATAAAAAGAATGGCAACAGAGGACCTCTGGTTTTCATAGAGTAGGGGCACTTTTTCCTAAAAACAAATAAATGAAAAAGAAACTCAACCCTCACACAAATTACCAATAAAACCTTTTGGGAGGGGAAAAAGTCACGTTTTACTAAGAATGGTTTACATTGTCCACATACTCAACGTGAAAAAAAAAAAAAAAAAAGAAGATAAAATAGAAGCACCTTCAAAAAAAAGGAATTTTTAAAAATGGCAGCACATTTGTTAGATTGAATAATGAGAAAAAAAGACACATAAATGTGATACAGAATATCTTGGTCAACAAAATTATTTACAGTCTGCCAGCAAAGCAATGTTAGTAACTGGCTATCCACGGGAATGTGAAAAGAGCCTGGTTATGCTGAACTGGACTTTGAAGGGACGTTTATTCAAATAGTAACCTGTTTCCCACCAGCTCTTACATCTTTGTTTCTGGTTCGTTTCTTACCAATGTGGAATTCCCCACTCCTGCAGGGCTGCTACGAACTCATCTCTGGGCCAATGGACCGGCATGCCTGGGGTGTTGCCTGGTTTGGATTTGCCATTCTTTGCTGGACCGTGAGTATTTCCCAGACATGTTTTATCTCTAAGGTGATGGTGATAAGGAGATGCTTTGAGATTCCATTGGTTACTTCAGTCACACTAGAAGGCCTGGAAACAAAACCTTAAAAAAACCAAACTCACTGCCATCCAGTCGATTCAGACTCATAGTGACCCCCATTGGGTTTCCAAGATGGTAAATCTTTATGGAAGTACCTTCTGGGGAGTGGTTGATGGGTATGAACCGCCAACTTTCTGGTGAGCAGTCAGATGCCTTAGGCACTATGCCACCAGAGCACCTTAATGAAACCTTCCAAACCAAAAAAAAACCAAACTCACTGTCACTGAGTCTATTCCAACTCATAGCAACCCCTGTATCTCTATGGAAATAGACTGCCCAGTCTTCCTTCCAAGGAGTGGCTGGGGGGGTTGAACCACCAGCCTTTATGGTTAGCAGTCAAATGCCTTAGTCAGTACGCCACCAGAGCTCCTAACAAAACCTTCCAAAACCAAAACCACACTCACTGACATCAAGTAGGATCTGATTCAGAGCGACCCCTCCTTGGGTTTCCAAGGCAGTATCACTATGGAAGTAGATTGCCCAGCCTTCCTTCCAAGGAGTGGCTGGTGAGTTTGAACTGCCAGCCTTCTGTTTAGCAGTCAAATGCCTTAGGTACTACACCATCAGAGCTCGTTAGACCTAGGTTAATGTAGAAGTGAATTCTCGTGGGGACTGGAGAAGGTTAACTTCCTGAACCAGGGAAAGGATGTGCCCCAGCAACCATACCTTCTTCCGGCCGACTGGGATACACTTGTCTTTGGGGAGCTAGAGAGCCTCTTTCCCTTACCCAAACCTTTTACTGAGGTCTAGTTCCTCAGTTCAGTACAATTAGATGTCAAAGACTGGACTGATCTAAATGGTTTCTGTCTGACCCTAATCTTCCTACCAGTTGCCATCCAGTTGTTTCCAATTCATGGTGACCCTTGTATGTCAGAGTTGAACTGTGTTCCATGGTTTTCAATGACTGAGTTTTCCAGAAGTACCTTACCAGGTCTTTCTCTCAAGGCACTTCTGGGTGGACTCAAACCTCCAGCCTTTCAATTAGCAACCAAGCGTGTTAACCATTTGCACCTAAAAAAAAACTCACTGCCATGGAGCCGGATCCCACTCACAGCAACCCTGCCTCGGATTTCCAAGGCGGTATCACTACGGAAGTAGATTACCCAATCTTCCTTCTGAGGAGTGGCTGGTGGGCTTGAACCACCAGACTTCTGGTTAACAGTCAAATGCCTTAGGCACTACACCACCAGAGCTCCTGCTTTGCACCACTTATCTATTAATTCACTAATCTGCCTAGCTCCTCCCAAAGAGTTGCCTCCTCCAGTCTCAGTTTTTCCTTGCATACTTTATCTAAATCACCTGCAGCCAGAGGTCAGCACAGTGGTTCTCAATCCTGGCTACACACTAAAATCTCCTGGGAAGCTTAAAAAAAAAGTATGCCTGGACCCCACCCTCAGATATTCTGAATCAGTGATTAAAGTTGCCCAGGCTTTTTTTTTTTTTTTTTTTTTTCAACTTTGCAGATGGTTCTAATTTGCAGTCGGTGTTGAGAATCATTGCATTAGTGCAGAAGTACCAAACTTTTTAGTTTCAGAATCCCTTTACACTATTATTATTATTATTTTATATATACCCTTGGCTGCAACTTTATTACAACCACAAAGAATATAAAGGAGACACATAGGGTGAAGTCTGGGAGGAGTCATAGAGCAGAGCTCCCAAGTCCCAAAGAGGGCTCTTTTGGGCCTCCCTACAGTGGCCATGATAGATTCCATCATGCCTTGTGAAGCTTCAGCAGTATTGGGCCCCCAGTTGTGCTCTTTCAGTCACTCCAGCCCCCATTCCTTAGTCTCAGGTATTGGTACAGCTGAACTGAGAAGAACTAAGAACAAAGGTCAAATTGCATTCTGCAAGGTGATTCCACACCTCCTAGTGCCTTCCACCCATTATCTCAGATGCTTGAAACCATCCATGACAAAGGTTGCACAACATGAAGAATGTAACCAACATCACTGAAATGTACATGTAGACATTGTTGAATTTGTGAAGATTTTGTGTATATTTTCACCACAATTTAAAAAAAATCCTATGTGGAATTAATATTCCCAAACCCAAACCCTTTTTGTTGCATTGATTCTGACTCATAACCACACTATAGGACAGAGTAGAACTGTCTCCGGAGGGTTTCCAAGGTTGTAAATCTTTATGGAAGCAAACTGCCACATCTTTCTCCTACAGAGCGTCTAGTGGGTTCGACCCGCTGACTTTTCAGTTAACGGCTGAGCACTTAAGTGCTACACCACTAGGGCTCCTGAATTAGTATTACCATCCTTATTTTATAGATGACACTGAAGCTCAGAGAAGCAAGTAAGTGGCTTGCCCAAGGTCACACAGCCAATAAATGGCATAACAGATTTGAGCCCAAGTCTGATTCTGAAGCTTATGCTCTGCAATAGTACTGCATTTCTGGGTTGAGAGAGAAGCAGGTAAGAGCTGAGAGTGAACAATGGCATCGTTGACAGCAATTATTCCCTTAAGATCAATGTATAGATTAAAGAATCCCTTTACACTCTTTAGTAGCTCTGGTGGTGTAGTGGTTAAGGCATTCGGCTGCCAACCATAAAGGTCAGTGGTTTGAACCCATCATGGTCTATGGAAGAAAGATGGGGCAGACTGCTTCCACAGAGATTTACAGTCTTGGAAACCCAAAAGGGGTCACTATGAGTTGGAATCTACTCAAAGGTAGTGAGTTTGGTTTTTTTGGTTTTATATTCTTAAAAATTATTGAAGACTCCAAACACCTTTTGTTCATAGGGGCTGTATCTATTGCTATCTACTTTATTGAAAATCAAAACAGAAATTTTAAAAATATGTATTAATTTGTTTAAAAATAATTATAAACAATTACATATTAACATAAAAAACATATTTTATGGCAAAGTAACTATTCAAAAATTAAGGGTATTGCTTAATGTTTTTGCAAATCTCTTTAATGTCTGCCTTAATAGAAGATCACTGGCCTCTCATATTTGCTTGTTCATTCAATCTGTTAAAATATATAGCGTAGGTTGAAGTACTTGAAGAATATCCATAATTATGTATGTTATTTGATACTACATCAAAATTCAACAAGTAGCAGTTTCTTAAAGGTTAGTTGCAATATTTAATATGATACTATGTCAATGTGTACCATTTGTACTCTGTTACATTAAAATTCATTGGTTTGGCTTGTACTGTGCATGAATAGTTTCCACATGCAAGATTCTATTACATCATGCATTGGTCATTGGGAAAAACATTGGTTCACTCTGTTAGGCAGATTTTCCAGATCTTAACAGATTTCTTTATACAATACCAAAAATTCATATATGTTGATATTACCACATCAGGAAAGATCTTAAGCATTAGGATACTAACAATTTCATAGTGACAGAATATTTTTAGAAAGTGTACTCAAAAGTCAGCATGTAATAAAATTAATAACTTCTACTGCTTCGTTGAGGTCAATCTCAAGTAAAACAAGCTTTTTTTTTTCCAACTGCAAGTGCATACCAGTTAAAAATGTGATTACTACCAATACAGTTTAATGCATCTTCCTTGACTCCTACTAAGATGCTAGCAGTTTTACCTACCACATCTTTTGCATCAGTGAAAAAGGCAAAAAGATCTTACCATGATTATGAAAATAACCAGAAAAACCAAACTCACTGCCATCAAGTCAATTCTGACTCATAGCAACCCCCTTTAGGTTTCCAAGGCAGTGAATCTTCATTGAAGTAGATTGCCCAGTCTTCCATCCATGGAGTGGCTGGTTGGTTTGAACCACCCACCTTCTGGTTAGCGGTCAAATGCCTTAGGCACTACACCATTATTGTGAAAGCAAAGGAGCTCTGGTGGTACAGGGGGTAAGGCATTTGTCTGCTAACCAGAAGATCAGTGGTTCAAACCCACCAGCTACTCCATGGGAGGAAGATGAGACAATCTACCTCTGTAAAGATTCACAATCTTGGAAACCTTATGGGGGTTGCTATGTGTCAGAACTGACTTGATGGCAATGTTTTTGTTTGGTTGGTTTCTCATGGGAGTGGGTTCTGTTATGATATCAGGGACCTCTGAAAGGCTCCCCATATGTTTGTGCAGCACACTGTGAGAAATACTGGGTTAGGAAAGAGGAGGAAGAAAGAAAGAAAAAATCAATTCCTTCGAGAAGTCTTTTAAGATGCCTCAATCCGCACTCTTAGGAACTCCCATAAGTGTTATTTGTGGTGTGCTGGACTCAATGTTACCTCGACTCCCATGATTTGCTTAAGCCAAGGTTACCCTTAAAATCTCGTGTCACCTAAGTTTGAGTGAACCTAACACCACTTTTTCCCTAAGTGCGAGATATTTCTAAAGCAATTTCTTACATTTTTTTCTTTTCATTTTTATTCTAGTTTTGGGTGCTTCTGGGTACCATGTTCTACTGGAGCAGAATTGGATATTGAGAATAAAGTGTCACCACTGAGCCTCCTTCCCCAGGGACTTTGCATTTGGTGCTGGAACCGGCTCTCTCCTAACATTCCACATCTGTGCTCCATAGTAACATGTGGGTTTCTCACTCAAATGCTGACTCAGATGCTACAGAGTTCTTTTAGGTTCTCAGGCTCATGAAATTCTCACAACCAGTATTTTCCATCCTGACCTGGGGTTCTGCAACAATTCTGTTACTCCAGGAGAGGGAGAATTTGGAGGAAAAAAGTGGGTAATAAGTATCCCCAGTCCTGTTTCTTTTAAATTCATGGGGTAAAGACATTCAAAAGAACCAGTGTTAGCACAATAAGCCAAGTTTCTATTTGGATAGCAAATTGGCCTGTGTTTCTCACTGTTTCCTAAAAGAAACCTTCAAAGGCTTCCATTTATCTCAGTACTGTCTAAATGGGAGAACCAAGGAAAAAGTTGTTGAAACATACCTTTTGTTTTGTGTTATATGCTGGCTCCCGTTTAAGAGATTCTCTTAATACCACTTTCAGATCATTTTACTTTGGATCCAGGACAATGCTTGATCTTGAACCAACAATGGTGGGAATTTCCTCTCATACCTTACATGTTTAGTAACCTCATTTTTCCCATTAATTGAAAGTATGTGGACTTCTGGGGGGACAAAGCTGAGGCCTGTCATATATTTACTTAGTTTTTATTCTAAATGATTTCAACTTTAAACCTCTTTCAAACATGGGAGAAGCAAGCCAGCTATTGGAATGGGTGATTTAGGGGAATTTTTGTTTACTGTTAAAATGTTTCTTTTCTGAACTGTTTCCATTTTGAAGGAAGTTCTTATAACCCAACATTTGTTTGGCTAGCTTTATAAATAAAGAGGCCTTTAAAATATTGTAACCTTTGTTTGTGTTATCAGTATCACAATCGGTCATATGTGAGTCTAACAAGATGAGTTTTCCAACACAAGAACCTATCAGGCTCATGGGAATTAACATTTAGGAGAAGAAAAACCAGTTGTGGTTTCCTGCTGGATACTGAGTAACCCTGTTGTGTAGTTAAATGATCGAAGCTTCTGTTTAGTTGGCTTTTTAGCTCCTGCTACACTTTTGGTTGTAAATTAAATGGAACACATAAAGAGTGATATCCTAGGCATTGTTGTTGTTGTTGTTATGTGCCATCGAGTCAAACCCGACTCACAGCGACCCCTCCTTGGGTTTCCGAGGCAGTATCACTACGGAAGTAGATTGCCCCATCTTCCTTCCGAGGAGTGGCTGGTGGGTTT